TTGAGGGAGGGTATGAGTGTGGTGGGTGTTTGTGTTATTGAGGGAGGGTATGAGTGTGGTGGGTGTTTGTGTTATTGAGGGAGGGTATGAGTGTGGTGGGTGTTTGTGTTATTGAGGGAGGTCATGAGTGTCGTGGGTGTTTGTATTATTGAGGGAGGGTATGAGTGTGGTGGGTGTTTGTGTTATTGACGGAGGTTTTGAGACTATCTGTTATTTCATCCCAAATGTCACAGAGAGTTGCAAAGGAAGGGTCTGAAAGGGGGGGCAAAGTCTCTTTTCTTCAGCTGCTGTTTCCTGGTACTTCACTCTTCTCATACCTGTAGAATTCATATCGGAGTTATTTCTGGTGACCGCTCCAACGTTGATTTGGTTTTGGTTTTCCAAAAATGATCTAGTGGCTTTGGCTCAGTGAGAAAGTTCTGTGCTGTGAATGGAGATGTCTATTTTAAAGAAATCTTGACGAAAATAAGAGTAAGACATGACGTTCCAGCACTTGTGCGATGTAGTCCACTAAACCTAGCCATCGGGTGATTCGCTTGAGGGCGGTTTTGTTATCCCCCCCCCCCTCCGCCAGACCACCAAGATATCATAACATTTTCGTGGCCTCTGTTCCTCGTTGCCAGATGAGTATGTCCAAACTCGAACTAACACAGTCCATGTGCAAAAAAGGGTTTTGTGCTTGACATGAAGCTATTAGCTTTTAAACAAAAACAAAATTAATACTACTGAGCATATTGTTGTATAATGTTCAGTCCAGGTTGTGCATGGTATTTGTAACTGCTCTATTCTCAAATCTGTCAGAAACTGTCGCCAGAAGATGCTGTTTCTTGCAGAGACAACACTGCTCTCTGTTCCCTTGACAATCAATACGTCATGTCCATTCCACTAATGTTGATGCACTTCAATATACTCCCGAACACAATTTTACCTTTCTCTGATTTCGAACAATTTTGCCAAGCCTCAGTTTTGAGTGACCATATCTCGGTTGTGTCTTGGCATAGATGACATATCAATGTGTCAGATGGCGCAGAAGTTATTCAGCTTTACATAGGTATGCTGAATGAATGTGTAGTCCGAGCCTGTAACATGATGACTGACTGAATACAGTTGTAAGTTTCTTTACATGTAAACACGACGCCTAACCAGCTCTTTACCACCAGAGTGAGGCGTAAAGATCCTCCACTTTGGGAACGAACATTTACAAGCACACAAGCATCCAGGGAAAAAATGTTATGTCGTTTAGAAATTTATAAAAAGAGTTTTCATTACTAGGTTTTAAAAAAAGAAAACGGATGAGGAAAATGGCGACCGTCATTTAAAATATCTTGAACTACATAGCCTTAATGTTCCCCGAAGAAGTTCATGATGGATCTACAAACGAAAGAGAAAGACAATTATTCAAGAGGAAAACGGTTATCGGGCGTCTACAACATAGCGGCTGGGCTCTTGGCTGTCACGCGCAGGATGCGCCAGTTAAAAAGTTTCCAAGTGGGGGGG